CCCCCCCCCCCGACGGTCTCCCCCCGCCGGTACCGCCTGCCTGCCAACGTTGACCAGGCTGCCATCACCTGCTCCCTGTCCAACGATGGCATGCTGACCTTCTCGGGCCCCAAGGTCCCCTCCAACATGGACGCCGGCCACAGCGAGAGGCCCATCCCTGTGTCCCGGGAGGAGAAGCCCACCTCTGCACCTTCCTCCTAAGGCTGCCTGCTGCTGCGGTACGCAGGCTGCCACCGTCTGCAGATCTCATTCCCAGAGCCATTGCATAGATATCAGTGAATATCTAGAGGGGTTTATTTTGTTGGTTCCCCCCCCTTTGTTTGGTTTGTTATTTCCTCCCCCGTCCCCTTTCCCTTGGATGGGACGAGGGGCTGGGTGAGAAGCGGCTGGTGGACTTTGAAGCTTAAACCTGTGAGCTGTGCTGTGGGGATGGCGTGGATGGCGCGTGCTGCCATGGATGGCGCGTGCTGCCACGCTGTTGTACTTGCTGAAAGGGTCTTCGTCCGGTGCTGTAGTCCAGAACCACCTTCAGGTAGGAGGGAGTGCACAAGTAACACTGGCTCCTGGTGCACCAAGTCTTGAGGCGAGGCTTGGAGCGGGGAAAAAGCCCTGCAGACTTGCTCTACCCCATGCAAACTGGTTACTCTTAAAAAAAAACCCAAAGCAATAGAGCCAAGCCTCAGACCTGAAATCCTGTGCACATGCGATGAACGTGCCACGAGTTCCTTGCAACCGCAGGAGAAAAGAGTAACATCTTACCTTCGGGGGTTGCAGCGTGTATTTTTTTTCAGCAAAGTGTTTAAGTGTATCTGTTCACACCACTACCTTGTCGTTTCCCTTAGAGGCAAGCGACAAGAGGACAAGCACGTCTTTCCACTGTCTTAGTAGGCCCTCAGGGGAGAGACGGGGGGCTCACCGCTGTGCAGAGGCTTCACATCCCCAGCCAGCTCTCCCCAGCCCGTGCGTAACACACCGTCTCCCTTGCTCTTGCTCTAATTCTAGGGTAGCTCCACCTCTTCCACTGGTATCTGGCACTCAACCTGAGAACGTGGTCAGTGGCGGTCAATAAAGAGATATAGGAAACTCGCAATTGGCTTTGAGGGTTTCATTTGTTCCTTTCTAAGGCTTTTGAAGTTGAAAGGTTAGCGCAGTGCCTAACGCCGCTCGGAGGATGCGCTTTCCACCACTGGAAGAACGTTTTGTGACGATGGCTTGCCCTTTCTTTCATGTTCCTGTTATCCTTCATGCGAGCAAAACAAAAGGATCAGAAAAAGAACAAAATTCAACAGCCCATCAGCCATGGCATTTCTTAAGTTCATTGCGTCAGTAAAGATGACAATGCAGGCCTCATTTGCGTGCCACGACGTGAAAGATTTAATCTGAAATGAACGATTAAGGCTGTTTGATGGCAGGGTGGTTAGGGTGTAGGTACTAGCTCTCCTTGCTATTGCCATGCATGAAATCCATGGCTCCCAAGCCCACATAGCTGTGAGTGCTCGAGACTGGCGGGTTTCAGCACACATGCTTGACTCAAATAGCTTTCCACACAGAAAGAAATCTGGGGTGTCTAGGAAAAGCATAGCATCACTGATAACCCCTCGTATCCCTATAATTAACCCCATAGGTATAATTGGCTTGGACAGTGAGTGCTTTTTCTCTTGGTAGAGAACTTCACATCCAACACCTGCAATGCGAGGTGGAACTTCTGAGGTCCGCCTTGGCTCCTAATTAGAGAAGGTCACTGCTTCCCCAGGAGCAAACACAAGATCATCTCAATCAACATGCCTCTGGGTGCTACTGGGTCACACCTACAAAACAAGGCATGGTGACAACAAAACAAATGCATCCTTCCCAGGAGAGAGCATAAGTTCATGCCTTCATTGAGAGGTGAGGACAGCTGGAGAAAAGGTGTTTGCCAAAAAGCTGAGCCCACGAATTTCCTCTCTTCTGCTGCTGGATAGCTGTGAAGAAGAGAGAAAATATGTGCAGGGTTTTTATCTCATAGCATGGGTTTAAATATTAATATGAGTCATAAACACAGAAGCTCTGGACCTATTTAAAAAGCATTTTCCTCTGCCACATCTAGGCCAAAACCCAGGGAAGGCTGAAAGCCAAAAGCAAGGACATCCCACTTAATGTGGAGAAAGTGAGTGTGCCCCAGTGCTCAGCCTTGTCCCCTGCCAGAACCCCCTGAGGCCAGAGGGTGCTGGGAGCATTACTGGGACTAGCATCACAGATTCTGTGGCACAGTCTGCCGGGAACAGGGTGGCTGGGGGAGAGCCAGGGAGAGGGGCAAGGCTGCAGGATGGGGGAAATGCTGCAGAAGAAGGGCAAGATGGAAATAAGGGAGATTACTGTCTGGTAATTAGAAAGCAAGGAATCCCCTTGGCGTCTGACACTATTTTAAGCCTGTTTTTAAAATTGAGATTAATTACTGGGCAATCCTGAATTTTTCTACTCAAAAATGTGCAAACTGTTGAATTTTCATCTCTAGGGTAAAAGCATGAATGAGCATGTTTGAGGAAAGGGTAATTTCGTACCAGGAGGGAGCCATTACTCCCGGCAGGGAAAGTTCATTTTAACAGAAGCTGCCTCTCGCTTCTTTGCCTGGTGCTAACAGGCCCCTGGCTTCTGCTCCTTTCCCCTCGGACGCGTCTCCCGTCCAGAGCCTTGCAGCCTCCCCGCCGTGTGCTGACATCTCTCTCCTTCCTGACACAAACTCATCAAAGCCAGGAGTGATAAAAGAAAACCCACTGCAAAACCCAGCCCCAAACATTTAGCATCCGTTCAAATCTCTCAGGGATGCAAAAATAGAGAAACATATTTTGAGCATGATCTGTGTGCAGATGTTGCCTGCAGGTGACTGACCAGTGTGTCTGTTTGTCCCGTGAAATGACATTTGAACCATCTGGGACCCCTTTTTTCTGTCTGGATGTCAGAAAATGAAATCAGGGCGGGTTTGGGGTAAGCTGGGAGCCATGCACAGAGGGCAGTGGCTCTTGCAGTGGCTTGGGTGCTGTGATGCAGCAGGTGCTGAAGGACGCACGCAGCTCCTTGCTTTGGAGCAGATCCTAGGAACACAGGACCTTGGCTGTCTTGCTGCTCTGAGAAGGGCTGATTTTAAAGCCCTTTGCAATCCGTCAGCTAATTAAAAATGTGAGCAGCTGCTAAAAGCCTCTGTGCGAGGACACGCCTGGTGCCTGGTGGCTGGTGGTATTTTGTGTAGGCGGGGAAACTTGTCACCAAAGGCTCCTTGCCCGCCTGTCCCCAGGCCCAGAGCCCACCATGGCTCCGAGGGGTCCATCTGTCCGCAGAAGTGCTTGAGCATGGGCAATAACACCTCCCTGCTTACTAGTGTCTATGTGTAACTCAAAATATTTCACATTTTTCACCCTGAAGTCTTCCTAGTCACATTGCTCTGAGATACTCCTCCTCTTTGTGCACTTGTCTCTGGAAAAGTTATTGTTTCCCTTTGCTGAGATTAACATCTGTTTAAAGAAAGTCTCATCATTCCTAGTCTATAATCATGGCTTCAAGAAGGAGCTCTTCACCACAGCTTTCTACACAAATTCACCCGTTAATAAGGTGTGGCTAACACTCTTTGAGGATTAACAAATTCTGTTGGAAGCGTTTTGATAGCAACTCGATCATTAATTTTATCACAGAGAGAAAGGCAGTGGAGGAGCCTGCCCACAGGACATTGATGGGACCTTTCAGTGCCCAGGCAGTCCGCTGTAGGGTGGTCTGTAACCAGGGGTTTCTCCTCAGGGTGGATATTCATCTGTGGTTTTATCATCTCCTGTCCATTTCCACTCAAGAGTACTGACCTTGGTTGCCTACAGCAAAGCAGAAATTACTCTAGCTTCCCCTCTGGAGAAATCTTTAAAGAGTCCTAAGGAGGATGCAGCAAACACTGGTCTAGGGACCTGCATTCTCCTCTGGCCAACTCTCTCTTCCCCCACAGGTCCCAGTGACCAAGTGGTGGTGGCAGCTCATACTGCTATATGTGCTCCCTCCTCTCCTTGGCACTGCACTGATTGGGCAATGTCACCTCCACCAGGTTCCAAACAAAAAGTTGGGGGCAAGGGCTGGCAGAATCCAAGCTGCAGGCCACCACCAGTCGGGAAGCTGTCCATGAGCATCATGGGCCAGAAATCTCTCCTGTCGCCCCTCTCAGTGGGGGGATGAGGAGGACTCGCTTCCTTTTTGGAAGAAGGGGCACAGCCCTCTCTGCAAGGTCTCAGGCAATCAGCAGATGCTGCATTTCCCTTGTCTCACCCTTGGTTTATCCATTAGTTTTGGACTTTTGTCCCCTGGTTTCTGGCAGAGGGACAGCCCAGGAGAGAGGAAGGGATTTCCCGGCAAAGCCATGTCCCCACAGGGTGCCACCCTTCTCTGACTCTAGCACACGGAAGGGTTCCCTTCATGTCAGGTGTCCCCCCTCCCACTTCCTGGCTTTCGGGATCTCCCCAGGCTGATGAGAACCCAGGGCACAAGGCAAGCAGGCACATGGATTCAGCAAGAACCTCTGCACAACTCTGGCATTTCTTGGTTCCTGATTGCTGTGCAAGTTACATAAAGATTTGGAGTAGTCTGAAAGCTTGCCAGCATTTTCTCTCTTTTTTTTGTCTTTGAGACAAGTTCTGTTACATGTAACCACTATAACCCCTCATTTCCTTGTCATCTTTATCAAGATCTGGTCTTTGCCGCACAGGTCTCTGTGATCTGAGGTTAAAAAAGCAGTGACTATCTCTGTTAGCAACAAAAAGGGCTCCAAACACATCCAAAACACCCCTCAATATTCTCTCAAAAGCATGTAACACTGACATACGGGGCACATCTCTGCAGTTTGTGTTGGGTAACACTGCCAGAGGAGACTGCTCTGCCCTCCTTAACCCAGACTTTGTCCCTCCGGTGTGCTATTTTGTCAGGACTGGCTTGGAAAACCACCAGCTTGCTTGACTAGAACAAGTAGCTGCAGAGTCTCCCAGCTCTTGATTCGCCCGTGTGGCTTTTCCCAAGGCAAGTGCTGTCGGATCCATAAGCCCATGCAGCAGGGCTGGAGCTGGGTTATGTGGCTGGCACTTAGCTTGCAATTAACTAGCACTTTCCAGGAAAAATGAGAGGTTGGGACATGGCACAGGTGTTTATGGCATATTTTAGGGTGCAGCACAAGCACGGTAAGAATGAAATCTTGGTCA